TGTAAGTTGTTTAAGTTGCTTCGTTTCTTGTGCTAATACCTTCTCTTTAATTCTTTCTTCTATAAACAGACATAATTTCTTGCTCAGTTATAGAGTTCTACTGTTCAAATCCTGTGATTGCTGTGTTGAGAATACCGACTAACTTATCAATCGAAATTTTTTCATTTTCAATAACCTCTCTGCCACATTCTTCAATATCGGAAGCTCACATGTGTAAACGATTTACGTCCATGCGCAAGTTTGTGGCTTTGAGGTCCAGATAATAGATCATTCCGTAAAATGGACGTCCGGATTACGGTCTTCGTACTGTATAATATAAATATGAGACTCTACTTTGGTACATCCATATAGGGTTAATGCATATGGAAAGCTAGTTTGTGTGCTTGGAAATTTAAAATTGTATTTTTCTTCTGGCAATAAAAACAAATTGTGTCACAAAGACATATTTAGTAAATAACTGTTTCTTACATTTATAGAAAAGATATTTTCCAAATGCCTTTTTACATATTTATGCACATGGGATTTGAAATTGAAAAATTAAAAGAAACATCTCATTCAGCGCCGTCTTTAACCAGCAGAAAATCCCAGATAAAGAAGTTGAGAATATTTTCCAAATCTTTCAAGACCCTGAAATTTTTAATTTCATTATAGAGATGAATAACATAGCCAAAAGAATCAAGCACTCGAAAACTAGCACCAAAAAATTAGCCATAGCCTTTGAAAGTGTGAAGTTGAACTCTTGAATTTGCGGAAACTGAAAACTACGCCTTAACCCATTAACCGCCAAAACTACAAGGAATGTTTTTCTCATGAAATTAATACCAAATATTAAATTAAGCATTTATAACATAAATTTACATTGAAAATAAAAAAAAAATGCTCTTACCTGTGGAAAACGCGAGTGTTGCGTTCACGCAATGTCGGCGGAATAAGACAACGGATGTTGAGTGAGTAGGATTGTACTCGTGTGATGTTTCTTTTGAGTGGAGTGCAGGATTACTTTTTAGCTGCATAACGTTTTATAAATCTACAAATCACTTTACTTGTAATTAATTTAATATTAAAATATACATTGTATTTCTTTTACAAATGAAGATTATTTCATTTGAAAGATTCAAGCATGAAAAGCTTGATTACAATCATGATATAAAGCTACATTACATACTTTGCATCTATAAACAGTCTGGCTATGGTACTCTTTACAACAAAGTCTTTTGTTATCAACGGACTTTACGATAAAATGTCTACCATCTCCATGCAATGGTTTTTGAATGCTGAATTGACTAGATCTTCCTGTTGCTGATCTATTTCTTGCTAATTCTACACTCTCAATAGGCGTTTACAAAAGAAATAATGCATTCTCGCGTCTGAAATCTAAAACAGACTTTATATTTCCAGTAGTAAAAAGTGGTTATATTTAGTAAGTTTAGATACGGTCTCACCTCATATAATTTATCAGTATTGTCAATTTGACTATTGTCAAACGCAAATTCTGCTTCATATTCCTGTACTGCAAACGTGATATCAATTCTCATACAACAGGAAATGTCCTTATCAAAAGACCAATACATTTTTTCTTGAGGTAAAGAATGATATCCTGTAAGCAATAATATTCCAATAAATTCTCGACATTTTTTCCCTGAGCGTATATATTTGTCTGTTCAACGAGAAGAGAGTAAATGTCTAAATCAAAAAGAAAATCGAAAATATGTGCACTAGTTTTACCTTGTGTTTTGTCTTTTATAATTTCTCTTCTATCTCTTTCTTCATGTTCTTCCTGAGACATAACTAATGGTTCCTTTTTTATCCACTTCCAAGATTTCAATATTCTGCTTTTTAAACTTTTTAGTATGACTATAACAGCTTTTAGAAGGCTGAAACGTATTTCTTACGTGAATTTCAACTTCCCCAGCAGTATCATTTGGTAAAATATCATTATCATTACTTAAAACATTGCCATTCCTTTCTTCTTCGTCACTAGTTTCTGCAATTTCTGGGGGAACAACAACAATATCAGTTTTCATTCTTGTCATTATTAACATTAACATCATCTGTTTCTTTATCAAAAAATCTTTGAAGGGATTCTTCTAATGCAAGACACCTCATTCTAGGTATTTTTAAACAACCAGAACATGAACCAGAACATCGAAAGGAATGAGTGAAAAAGGAGATTAACTACCCATTTCCTGCTGACGTTGCGTCAACGCAACACCTGTTTTCCATTCCTTCCCAACACAAATATAAACATCTGACTGATGTAATGTTCTGATAAACGGTGACCTTGACTAAAAATAGATCACTCATAAAGACGGCAATTCTTTCGTTAAATATTTTCATCAAAAATACCAGGTTGAAAATTTTGCTTAAACTATGAGATTAGTTATTATAAACAAAATGATTGTTGAAGGCAAATATTTTTTTACAGAAATAATCTTCATAATATTCCCTACACAAAATCATCTGCTGCTATAAAATATCTTAGGTAGTTATATTTATATACATATTTATTTACCGTTGCATCAACGCAACACCAGCAGCTAATGGGTTAATGCATTTTTACTCTGAAGTTCTCGTGGCACTCACTAGATAGCGGCACATGTAATTTGCTACACTCCGGAATTTTTATCGATACGTCTTGTCTCGCACTCCTTCATTTTTTCGACTTCACTCTTCACAAGTTCTGCCCATCACCTCTGCTAACTCCTTACAATCATTTGAACTTCTATTGTCTTCAACCTCCTCACAAGTTCTTCTACTACTTCTACCATTCCCATGCTATACTCAACGCTCGCAAAATACAGTAAAACGTTACATTGGGAGAGTGGTCTGACCCAGGCACCCAGATTTAAATAAATAAAATGCACTTGCAAGCTACAGCATGCATATGGTAATGAACTATTTAAGCATTCTTCAGAATTTCACAGCAAAAAGAATTTGAAGGTGGTTACATGAAAGCCAGCATACTCCACAGGAACCAGATGTCAAACCTGAATACTTAATATCAGACAATACACAGGGACATATAACTAAAACATATCTGAAACACTTGCATGGACCTATGAGAAAGAAAAAAAAGTATATATATTTGTATATCTATGTGAAAGCCTTAGCACAATTCTTTGATTTTTTACAGATGAAAAGTTAAAAGTTACTTATCAGGTGCAAATTGGTGGTTTTCACGCCTTTATTTCAGAAAATTCCCAAACTGTTGGTATTTATTATAAATTGGTAAAAATTATCAATATATCATAAGAAAATATACTTAAGAATAGAAATTTGAATTCCAAAATAAGGACGCATTCTTTTTCAAATCTCTTTGTTATAATTTTACACTTTTTTATATGCCACATACAGAGCTATCTGTTTTTGCCGAAACAAATGGGAAAATTGAGTTCATGCAGCACTCTGCTAATGAGAAAAAGCATTTCCTTTATAAAATTTTCATCCAAATTCTGTGTTTTTGCAGAATTATGAAAAAACCACTCGCAAATTCTCCAAGGCCATATTTTAAAACTACAGCGAAAAATATCATGATATGTTTCTAAAAACAGTTGGACTTTGGAATACAACAAAAATGGCAGAAGTGCTTGAGTGAAGAATTATTATAAGCATGATTGCTGGAAGGATGGATATGCACAATGTTGCCAGAGTTGGGCATATACTGAAAATACGGCTACTTGTATCAAGGAGGCTGCATCAACATGTAAATAGCCCAAAATAAAACCTTACTTCCTAATGAAATTTCAATTTCTTTCAAAGACACTACAAGCTGCAGAGTGGTATCAAAAAAATAGTTCACAAATCAATTTTTTAAACATTCGATACTGAACACATACGCTTGCAAAAATCTAAATTCTAAGCATTCTCAACATTAAAAAAAACTAATGAGATGTAGAAAAATAAAATCCACTACAGATACCACAAAAATATATATTTTATACTTTTTAGAAAAATGTATTGAAAAGTCGATTACAGTGCAAAATGTGAATCAAATTTCCATTTAAATGAAAATGTTCCAAGATTACAAGGTTTTAAACAATGCATGACATTACCTGAAAAGGAGGAATGGGACATCAATAAAATTTTCGTCTAATCTTTGGAATATGGTAACAGGTAGTTTGGCGACATTTTGGTAGGCAATAAAGGTTACTACCTAGGACTTTGGGAATAATGTGAGAAGTACTCAGTTCCGATTACGCATTACTTCGTGTGAGGGAAATGAGAGATCATGAGATATTTCATGTGACATTAATGGACGAACCACCGTTCTTTAATCGGAAAAAGGGGGTAAATTTGTAAAAATATCTGCTGTACTTTATAGCATTAGTTTCATTCTATGTTCTGTGAAACAGTGTTGTTTAATATTTGGATCCCATGGCCCTATATAAAGTAAATCCGAAATTTTTATTGCGATTATGTGTAATTGAAAAGAATTGCTTAATTGCGGATAAGTATGAATGTCCAACATGTGAGAATGAAATGAGATTGTGTGAAAGGAAGGATATTACAGAGAAGTTTGAATGGCGGTGCAAGAAATCTGGTGAAAATGCACATTTTGTGATCTGCCATGCACTCAAGATTCTGTTAAAGATTAGGTAAGTTAGTATTTTTAATTATTTGAGGATATTATTTTTATACATTGTTCTAAATGTAAGCAGTAAATATATTAATATGGTATTATTGGAAAATTGTTATTAGCAATGATTTAGTTTAAAGTAATTAGGATTGTAAGCTAATTTTTATTAATTTAATGTATGTGCTTATTTATATTTTAAGTGTAGTGTTTTTAATTTAATTATAATTTAATTTTGCGTTATAAATTGGCAGGTGAGGTTTATAATAGATAATTTAGAGGGAAAAGTTTTTGGATATTTTATTTATTTTATACGTGCAAACATTCATCCTTGGAAAGGGTATATACTTTTTCGCGATCATGTAATTTCATATATGTCCTTTTTCCCGAATTTAAAGATTCCCAAAATTTTCATACATTTTCGTGCAAATTTTTGTAATTTATGAGAAAATAGCAGTGTAGATGGATAAAGTCAAGAATGTGCACAATGCCATTTTTGTGCAATTCTGGGATGTTTTTCTAAGTAAAAATAAGTCGACATGTACATGGTTACTGTCTATGTGCGATTGCGAAAAACGTGGCAAGGAGTTTGCGATTCTGCACTTTTCCCCAATTTTGCAGTTAATATATGTCATGATTAAGCAGTTTTGTTCCATAAAATTTCTAGCATAAGTGTAATTCGGCTAGCAGATTGTTGGAAAAGTGTTGAGTAAATAAAAAGAAAAGAAACAGGTCTTTACTTCGTGAAGAGAAATTGGCCAGCGAAAAAAAAAGTAGAGGGTTGCTGTAGCAGAGTTAGTCGCCAAATTTTCACCCAGTTACCATAATCCAAAGATTAACCAAATTTCTTATTCAGAACAGTATAATCAGTGTCTAACTTTTCAATTTTCAAATATGCTGTTTTAAACTTTCATTACTCATTGATAAAAGAAAATGTTGCTTTAAATCAGGAGCAGTGTAATATTACTTGCGACTTATCTTGCAATCATCAGGTTTTTCTCTTGTGGAAACAAACAAATGATTCATTTAGAATTGAATATGAAATGACAAGTTGAACACACCAAAGACATTTCTTTATAGCATGGACAGGTCTTTATTGCACACATAAACAAAGGTTCTCATTAACCTAAATTTTCCGCAAAAAACATTAACCTTCTTATGTTTGACATGAGAGTTCGAATTTTTCTATATACCAAGTGGTTACACATGTACCTTATGGAATTTCCCTCTGGTGTGAATAAGTAGATGCTTTTTTAAATTAGATTTTTCAGTAAAGGACTTTCACACACATGAGGTTTCTGTCCTGTGTGAAGTAGCATACGCTCATTTAAATGACATTTTTGAGCAAATGACATGTTACATACTTCACACACATGAGGTTTCTCTCCTGTATGAATACGTATATGTCTGTTTAAATCAGATTTTTGAGTAAATGACTTTGCACATACCTCACACACATGAGGTTTCTTTCCTGCGTGAATAAGTATATGTCTGTTTAAATCACATTTTTGAGCAAATGACTTACTACATACCTCACACACATGAGGTCTCTTTCCTGTATGAACTAGGATATGACTGTTTAAATTACTTTTTCGAGCAAATGACATGTTACATACTTCACACACATGAGGTCTCTCTTCTGTGTGAAGTAGCATATGCCTCTTTAAATTACTTATTTGAGCATATGACATGTTACATACCTCACACACATGAGGCCTCTCTTCTGTGTGAAGTAGCATATGCCTGTTTAAATGACTTTTTCGAGAAAATGACTTGTTACATACCTCACACACATGAGGTTTCTCTCCTGTGTGAAGTAGCATATGCCTGTTTAAATGATCTTTTACAGCAAATGACTTGCTACATACCTCACACACATGAGGTCTCTCTCCTGTGTGAAGTAGCATATGCCTGTTTAAATGACCTTTTAGAGCAAATGACTTGTTACATACCTCACACACATGAGGTCTCTCTCCTGTGTGAAGTAGCATATGCTTCTTTAAATCACCTTTTCCAGCAAATGACTTATTACATATCACACACACATAAGGTTTCTTTCCTGTATGAATAATTATATGTCTGTTTAAATCACAATTTTGAGCAAATGACTTGTTACATACCTCACACACATGAGGTTTCTCTCCTGTGTGATTAAGTATATGCTTCTTTAAATCAGATTTTTGAGTAAATGACTTTGCACATGCCTCACACACATGAGGTTTCTCTCCTGTGTGATTAAGTATATGCTTTTTTAAATCAGATTTTTGAGTAAATGACTTTGCACATGCCTCACACACATGAGGTTTCTCTCCTGTGTGATTAAGTATATGCTTCTTTAAATCAGACTTTTGAGTAAATGACTTTGCACATGCCTCACACACATAAGGTTTCCTTCCTGTATGAATAAGTATATGTCTGTTTAAACGACATTTTTGAGAAAATGACATGTTACATACCTCACACACATGAGGTCTCTCTCCTGTGTGAAGTAGCATATGTTTATTTAAATGACCTTTCAAAGCAAATGACTTATTACATATCACACACACATAAGGTTTCTTTCCTGCATGTATAAAAATATTCATGTTTAAGGTGCTCTTTCGTCCAAATGAATTCTTACATGCCTTACACACAAGTTATTTTCTCCTGTATGTATATGCAGATGTCTGTATAAAAAACCATACTGTCTAAATGACTTCTTGCATACCTGACACATGAGGTTTGTTTCCTATGGCAATAACTATACAATTGTTTAAATAATTCTTTAGTCTAAATGACTTATTGCACGCGGCATACAAAGATAAATACACAGAACATTTGTCAAGCATATGTAACAATGAAACTGGAGTTGTCAGCAAATCATTTATTGTAACCTCACATTATGATAACATCACATCCTGCAATAAGAAGCAAATGCAGATTTATTTCATGCTTCTGTCTAAATGAGGTTTACATACCTCGAATACACGAGGTTTTTCTGTTCGGTAATTCGCGTTCTTTTAAGAAGTTTCTTTCACCGCATGACATTTTCCAATACACTTTGTACTCAGATATATTGGAAAACCGGAGAGAGTCACTTTGGAAATATAATCTAGAAATGAACACTTATTCATGGCATTTTACGAGATGTTACAATTTCAGGATGAAACTTGGTTTACTCACACAGGGAAGCATGTTCCTAAAACATGCGTCTAGAGAGAGAAGGCAACTTTTGGTATCATGATCTGTTCGTTCCGTTTTACGCGCATCTCAGTTTGCGCATCTTGTGACGTTAACAGATATGTCAGAAATGTGTCTGTTTACATTTTGCATTATTTGACTTCGTGCGTTTTATGCTTCGATAATATGAGAATTTTGCTTTCGCATATTTATAATGAGTGAAGAATCTTTCAATATAAGGCCCTTCTCACGGCCAAATACTTAGGAATATTGTGAGGATTCTGAATATTAGAATATATAACACCAATTTAAATGAGCTGGATGATGATACCAATGATCATTCAAGACAATGGATCTGAAATTCACAGTTCCGCTTTGATTACTATTCGTAACATCGTTCAAAAAAAAACTATAATTTCAAAGTCTTTCAACTGTTCTATTTGCAAAAAGTTTTTTTCAAATGCCAGCAATTTATAGCATCATTTGAAAAACATACATTCCAATAAAAAGCATATTTCTACTGCTGAAATATCTAACTCCAATTCAGATCGATTCTATGAAGTCGTCAATAGTAATTCGATTTCATATACTTTTGCTTCAAAATCCAGTATAACTTCAAAAAAAACTTTTAACTGCCCTGATTCCAAAAAATGTTTGTCAAATAACAGCAATCTAAAATGTCACCATGAAATTGCATGCATATTTCACAACAAACAACATTACTCAAAGCAAGTAAAAGTAAAGTGTTCCAATTTAAATGCAGTTTATATAGTCGTCAGTTCAAGAATAATAAAAATTTACTATTTTCACAAGCAGCTACTGCATTCATTGCCCTTGAGTGTTCATCATAAAAAAATTATATAAATGCCCATTATGTAATGAATATTTCCCAAACGTAAACTTTTTATTATATTTGCAAATGAAACATGAAATAACCATTGATAAAGAACAGAAAGAGAGAGAATTCTCTGTGTTTAATGATTTTATGACGTGGAAGGAGAATTTTGAAATGAAAACGTAATCTATATATTTTTTTTTAATTTACAAAGGAACAATACCAATTACATGTAAAAGACATTTATTTTGTATGCCATCATTCAGGACATTATATATCTAAAGTGCAAGGTATGCGAGATTTAAAAATTACAAGGGAGTAACAAAATTAATGCTTATTGCTGAGCCTCTATAAAAGTAAGCCAGTTTAAATAATGGAAAATGTAATTCTTATATAGAAAAACCCATTGTATGCCACAGAATGGGTATAGGGAATCTGTCTCTCACATTGCTGGAAAAGTCCCTTTTGATGGAATTTTAGATAAAATTCAAGATTCTGTATATGATACTGGGCTTGAGAGATTACATCTTTTGAGAAGGAATGATATATGGAATATTGAAAATTTGGTACTCTTCTGTTATCAGAACCAGATTCAGAAATGTATGAATGTATGGCTGATGGATGTGTTCATGTATGCATATACGTGTATATATATGAATGTATGTGTGTGTGTACACACATAGATATATGCACATACATACTTACATACATTTCTGAACCTGGGCCGAGTAACAGGAGAGTACCGAAAATTTTTATAATCTACAGTCAAATGCTGTAAGGCATAAAAAATATTGTATAAATGTAGAAGCCTGGAGTTAACGAAATGACTAGTGAGGACACAACTGTATTTTATTTTACAAGCCTCAAAATAGAATTTTAGAAAGTTATCCTGTATTTTAAAATGATGAGTCAGTGAGTGAGTTTTTTGGCGCAAAAACCAATGATGATTATGATGCGCCAAACAAATGGTGGGATGACCTAATTTAGAAATGAAATACTTATTAATAAAATTATTAAAAAGGTACATGTACCAAATCTAGAGGATGGAGTCATATAGATAACGTGTTAAAAGCTCATTAAAATACAAAACAAAATCTGCTGAACAGATTACATTAAATAATAAAAGCCAGTCTCTTTTAAATAATAAAATAAATTACAATTGACTCTCTTCCGATTTAAACGGTCGAGAGGTAAGTCACAGCTATTAAAATATTTCTGGACGAAGACTGTTAAAACAGGGACACTCAATTAAAATATGACGAACAGATAGACAAACATTACAATTTGAACAAACAGGCTCATTTTCAGCTTTTAAAAGGTAGTTATGTGTCACTCTAGTGTGACCAATTCTGAGGCGAGTCAAAAGATCTTCCTCCTTACGATTTTTGGTTGATTCCCAATGCTCAATTCTAGGTTTTACATGTCTTGCTTGTTTTGAAGCTGAACATCCCAAATTTGCTGCCATTTTTTCCGGACCTTTCCCTTGATGACACAGTAGATATCTCTAAAAGGGATAATGCGACTAGACAGTTCAACAGCAGATTTGACTGCAATATCTGCAAGTTCATTTCCCTTTATTCCAGCATGTCCAGGAACCCAGCAGTACAGGACTTCATATCCTCGAATCGTTAAATTTATATGAATTTTCAGAACATCCACTACCACAGGATTCTGAGTGCCGGGAAAAGTTTCCAAAGATTTAAGAGCACTATACGAGTCTGTATAAACTATGAACTTTTTGTGGAAGAGCTTCGAGATGTACAAAAGAGCATAATAAATTGCAGTTAGTTCAGATGTTAGGACTGAGAAAGCATGGTGCAACCATCTGCCCTCTATGTAATCTTCAAATACAAATGCCATCCCGACATGATCTTTTGACTTTGATCCATCTGTATATATCGGATAATAACTGCTATATTTGTGCCTGTGTTCAGCGAAGAGTTGTCTGTAAAGGATCTCGTTAGTGCTTGCCTTCAAGTGATGTTTTAAAACATAAAGAAGCTGAAGCCGTGAATTTTACCAAGGTGGAATTTCAAAATTCTGTACTGCTTGGGGGCGCATATCAGCGAGGGAATGTTCCTCAATGACAGGGCGAACTCTTAAAGGAAAGGTAGGAACGCAGGATGGACGCATTTCAAATAAAGTGTTAGACACATTATCGAGAAAGTACAGCTTATTGGGATGTTCAGGTTGGGATAGAACATTAAAATATAGCGAGAGGGACAATTGCTCACGCCTGAGATAAAGTGATGGTTCGTTATAGTCAACGTACAGGCTCTGGACGGGAGAGGTTATGAAAGCTCCTGAACAAATCCGCAGAGCTTGATGGTGGACAGGATCCAGTTTTAACAAAACAGATGAGCGAGCGGATCCATAAACAACTGAGCCATAGTCCAGTTTAGAGCGGACAAGCGCTCTGTAAATGCGAAGCATGGAGCAACGCTCTGCACACCAGGAGGTGTTCTATAACACTTTTAAAATATTTAGTGTTTTGAGACACCTCTTTCTCAGGGTTAAAACATGAGAAAGGAAGGTCAATTTTCGGTCGAACGACACTCCTAAAAATTTTACTTCGGGCATAACTGGAATAATTGTACTATTCAGATATAACTGAGGCTCAGGATGGAGACCTCGCTTCCTACAAAAGTGAACACACACGGTTTTCTGTTCGGAAAAAGTAAATCCCTGTTTGTTCGACCATTCAGAGCTATCTGCAATTGCCTCTCTACTTATCTCATGTCTGTCCCTCGACGGCTAATCCGTAGATCATCAACATATGGAGATCGCAAGATGGTGGAAAGAAGTTCTTTTAGTACTGAGTTTATTTTTAAACTAAACAGGGTTACACTAAGCACACAGCCTTGAGGCACACCCTGTTCCTGTTGAAAAACATCCGAATAAACAGAGCCAATTCTTACTTTAAAAGTTCTAGTGTTCAAGAAATTCTGAATGAAAATTGGTAGGTTGCCGCGCAAGCCACTCTCATGAAGATCGCGAAGTATACCGTATCTCCATGCCTTATCATAAGCTTTCTCAATGTCGAAGAATACTGAGACAAGGTGGCTTCTTCTTACAAATGCTTTTCGAATGGATGTCTCTAAAAGGAGCATGTTATCTACTGTTGTTCTCCCCTTTCGAAAACCACTTTGATAAGGCGAAATAATATTATTCTTTTCCAAGACGTAGACTAGGCGGCTGTTTACCATCTTTTCAAACAATTTGCATACACAACTGGTAAGGGCAATTGGCCGATAGTTGGAGGGATTTCCTTGGGTCTTTCCCTGGCTTAGCAACAGGAATGACAACAGCTCTCCTCCATGCACTGGGGGAAATATGCTCCGTTCCACACTCTATTGTAAAGAATGAGAAGGGCATTCAGTGACTTATAGGACAGATGCTTTAGCATTTCGTAATTTACGCCATCAAAACCGGAGACGACCTATGTGTCTGCAATAAAGCTCTCTTTAATTTCCACCATAGTAAATCTCTATTGTACGGACTCAAGATTTGGAAGAGTTGAAGCGATGGGATTTTTTCAGAGCGCTGCTTGATAGAGAGAAATGCAGGTGAATAGTTTCGGCTGGAAGAAACGGCAGCAAATGTCTCACCAATAGTATTTGCAATTTCTTCTATGGAGCTAATCACTCGGCCATCTTTTTCCAGAAAGGAAAGTGAGTGGTCTTTATATATATCCGCATGCGTTTCGAACTCTTTTCCCAAACCCGCTTACTAGGCGTAGAGGTGTTATTAAGGACACATATGAAATCCAGGAATCCCTCTGGCTCTGCCTTCTTACTTTCGTGCATTTGCTTTGGCTCTTTTAAAGGCTATGAGGTTTCGCAGAGTAGGATATCTACGAAAAATACCCCATGCTTTTTCTGTTTTTTCAGTGCTTCATGACAGTCGCGATTCCACCACGGTTTCGAATATATTTTAGTATTTTCCTGATGTTCTAGGAATCGAAAGCATAGCTGCCTGAATAATAGTATTAGTAACAGCTTCAACAGCGTCATCGATATGCACATCTTCTACCATTTTCTCTGTCAGCTCTGCAACGGAAGAGAAGAGTTCCCAGTCTGCCCTGTCCAGGATAAACCGAGGGACTCTCGACACGGGGTTTGCTCCTCTTCGTGCAAGAGACACAAAAATGGGATAATGATCGCTGTTGTACAGGTCATTTCCGACACTAAAAGTGCAAAATGGCAACAGAGATGGTGAACAGATGGCAAGGTCGAGAGC